CGTGTCCTAGCGCTGCCCTCGGGCCGGGGGCGGGGCCGCGGGGGGGGCGAGCAGGACGAGCGTCTCGGCGGCGACCCGGGCTGCCTCCCGCCCTCCCGGTGCCCGCTCCCGCGGCCGCCCGCCCTTCCTCCCCTCCCCAGGCCCAGCCGGCCTCCCCCTCCCCCCGGCGCGCACGCCCCGCCTGGCAGCTGGCGCCCCGGGCCTGGGGCCGCCGCGGCGAGAGGGGTTTGCAGCGAGGGCGGGAGCGGGCGAGCCGGCGCGCGAGGGAGGGAGGCCGCCCCCCGCGCCCCTCCTCCTCGCCCTCCTCCGCGGCCGCCGGTCCCTCCTCCCGCCGCCTCCCTCCTCCCTCCTCCCTCCCTCTCTAAGACATCCCCGCACGGCCGGGCCGCCGCGGCCACCTTCCCTGCCCGAGCTGCAGATGTGGCGGAGCGGCCGGGCGCCGGGCGGCCGTGCCAGGGGAGCCCGCGCCCCGTGAGCCTCGCGCCCCGGCCCCCGCCCGCCCCGGCCTCTCCCCCGCTCCCCCCACCGCCCCCGACCGCCGGAGCCCGCAGCCAGGAGCACGACCGCCCCCGCCGCCGAGGTAGGAACCCCCGGGCGCGGCGCGGTGGGGACGGGACTGGGTGGGGAGCTCGCCTGCCGCGCAGGGGCTGCGGGGCCGGGGGGCCCGAGGGCCCCGAGGGTCGCCTCCCCCTCGCGCGTCTGCGCCTCGCCCCGGGCCATTGTGAGCCCTCGCCGAGGCCCCTGCATTCGCTTGCTCGCTGGCTCGCGCGCTCCCTCCCTCGCCGGCTCCCTGGCCCCGTCCCTCGGTCTTTCGGTCTTTCTCCTCCCTCCTTCCCTCCCTCGGTCCGGAGGCCGGGACGAGCCGTGGCCGGGCCCGGGGCCGGCGCAAACTTCAGCGGGGAAGTTGGGTGGACGCGGTGGGGGTGCGCTGCGAGGTGAGAGGTGGGCACCCGGACCCTGGGCTCGAAGTTGTCTGGGGCAGCAGGGCAGCCGCCCCTCCCCGTGGCTGCGTCCGAGCTGTTGCTAGTAAGGGGTTTGGAAGGTGCCTCCCTTGTCCCGGAAAGTCTCCCTTCTGCTGTCTATAGCACGCCCAGGAAGGGCCAGGATGGGGGCGTCCCTGAGGGTCAGCACTGAGAGCTGAAATCCTGTCTAGTGTTTGGTTCTCTTCTGCCCTCTGGGTGGAAGCAGGTGAGGGCCTGGCAGGGTGGGGAGGGCAGGGGTATCCAGAAGTACTAGAGGGGGTGGAAGAGGGGGGTGAGGCAGGTGCATCCCCGGGGAGGGAGATGCCTGTGCCGCCTGCTTCTTGCTGGCCCCCTGGGATGGGACTGGAATCCTGGCTGGCACCTGGAGGCTTTGGCACACTGCCCTGCTCAGCAGGGTACTCAGGCCACAGCAGTGCAGCATGCAGGCTGTCTGCCTGTCCAGGAGGGCCCGCCCAGCCCAGCCAGAGGGTGGCCCTGGGAGCAATGGTTACAGGGAGCTGCCTGGCCCTGCCCTGGGGCCTGGGAAGCTGGAAGGGATACTGGGAGGAGCCCTGGGCCCCCAGCCATCATAGACTGGGATCTTGGCTCTGGAGGGAAAGCTTGACACCAAGGGGGCAGCCAGGCCAGGAGGGGACTTGGCCAAAGCCTGGGCTCCTGTGGGTTTTGTCTGGTCTAGGGATACTGCCTGAGCCATGGTGCTTGAAGCTGGCACATTGAGTGGTAGGCAGCCATCCTGCTGTCCTGGCATCCTGGAGGGAAGGTGGGGCCCAGCTGGTGCTTGGGAAAGACAGCATAGAGACCCTGTGCTCCTCCAGGGCTTTCTGAAATCCCCAGCTCAGTGAATGGAAAGTGGCCCCTTCAGCCTGCCCACCCATCTACCCCTTCCCAGGCCCCATTCTGGTGCCACAGTACCACAGCTGTCCCAGCCCAGCCCACACATCCCTCCCTGGTGACCTCGGAGCCCTCCCCCTCTGCTCCTCCTTCCCCCCTCTGGGCCCAGGCTGGGCCTCCCAGCTGGCCCTGACCCACACTGGGGGAGGGGCTGCACCTGGGGGGCCCTTCCCAGTACACTCCCCTTGAGGCACTCCAGCCCTGCCCAGCCCATTTCTCAACACAACCCCAGCTCCTCTCAGCCCTGTCTGCAGCCAGCCAAGCAGGAGTCAGTGATGGGGTTAGAGCATTGGTTTTTTGGGTTGGGGACCCCTTGGAAGCAGCCCTGTTTTCCTTAGCCTTTTCCCCTCCCCCTCCTTTCCGGAGCTGCCATTAGTGCTGACCCCCTGACCCCCTATGCCTGCCTGCCCTTCCCTGTCTGTGACCTTTGACCTTTGGTGTTAAATCCCTCCAGCTGGGGCTCTTCAGCCCCTGAGTGACCCTGGCCCAGGCCCCCTGGGGGGCCTCTCCCTGCTCCTGGCTCTTAGTGCAGGGACACCTGCCAGTCCCCCCCTCACCAATAGGGAGGGGGTGCCCTGGGAAGCCAGACAGTGAGTCACCTCACTTCCAGGCATCACTGCTTTGGGGTCAGTGGCTTTTGGGGATTTGCTGGAGTCAAGCCAGGGCCTGTAGGGTGAATGGGAAAAGCCCCTGGCCTGGGAGTCTGATGTTCTGGGTTCAAGTCTTGGCTCTGTCACCAATTTGCGGGGGCCTTGGCCCAGGTTTCTCCTCACTCTGGGCCTCAGTTTCCTCATCTGTAGAACTGAGGGGTCAGACAAGGTGAGCTTCCTGAGCTCCAGAGTCCAAGAGAAAACTGGGCAGGCGGGTATGGGGAGAAAGGAAAGGATAAATCCAACAAAAGCCAACTCTCAATTATCCGTGGGTGGAGCCAGTATGAATAACTGGATGCCACAGACATCCCAAAACCTCATTTTAAACAATCGCATGAACCGCTTCCCCCCCAAAGCTTTTGTTTCTGAAAAGCCCAGCTGTGAACGGGTAGCCATGGCCATTTCTTCTGCCTGGGCTCCCCTTGCAGGGAGTACAAGTTGGGGACCAGAGGGTAAACTGGCCGCTGGAAGACAAAGTTCTGCCAGGCCCCCTGCTTGGGCCCTGGAGTGGGGCTAGACCCTACCTCTACCTCCCCAAGCTCCTTTCCATCTCCTTTCCTGGCTTGGCCTTGGCTCCAGGTTAGGTGGTCTTCTGGCCACCTAACCCTTCCACGGTCTGCTCATTGGTATGGAAGAAAGAATGTTTGCCCCACAACATTTTTCCAAGTGCATTTCTACCTACCAGGCTGAATTTCCCACTGGGTGAGAAGGGCGGATGGAACCAGTGCTGGGCAGAGTTTGGGGCAATCCCAGCATGAGAGAGGGGGGGTAGCAGCTGTGGCTAGGGGACCAGATGTTGAGGCTGGGGCCTGCAGAACTCTTTGGGAGGTGTGCTGGGGAAGACTGCCGCTCCTGGCTCGCCCCTGCAGCTCCACAGGCCTCCATAGGTTCTGCATCCTAGGGGAGGCCAAGGAGGCCCCTTACCCAAGTGGGAAATTTGGATTTTAAAGGAGAGGCCCTGAGTTGGATGGGATGAGTGGGGGGTGCTGCCTTTTCTGAGACTGTAGAAAGCTCCCCTGGATCCCTCCTCTACTCAGGTTATGGTTATTTTATCTTTCACAGATGACTGAGGCCAGAGGGGACACCTGAAGGTACTGGGGGATCCTCCCTTCACCCAAAAGTGCCCTTATCAGGGTTGAGGGCCCTCCCTGGTTGTCAGGGCTATGTGCTAAGCAACAAAGGAGCCTCTCCCGAGCTGGGTGCAGTGGTGCACGCCTGTAATCTTAGCTCCAGAGGCTGAGGCAGGGGGATCATGAGTTCAAAGCCAGTCTCAGCAATGATGAGGTGCTAAGCAACTCAGTGAGACTCTGTCTCCAAATAAAATACAAAATAGGGCTGGGGGTGTGGGGATGTGGTTGAGTGCCCCTCGGTTCCCAGTACCCTCCCTCCAAAAAAAGGAGGCTCTCCCAGATGATGAAGGGATCTCAGGAGCCAGCTGAAAAGATACAGCATTCCTCCCTCTGCCTCACTGCCTCCTCTCAGGGCTGTGAAGGGTCCCCAGAGATTGGCTGAGGTCTCAACTTTTACTGAGGATTCATCTTTTTTTTTTAAACATTTATATTTTAGTTGTAGGTGGACATAATACCTTTAAATTTTTTTTATTTAAAAAAAATTTTTAGTTGTATATGGACTCAATGCCTTTATTTGTTTTTGTGTGGTGCTAGGATCGAACTCAGAGCCCCACACCTGCGAGGCAAGTGCTCCACCACTGAGCCACAACTCCAGCCCCCTTTATTTTATTTTTATGTGGTGCTGAGGATCGAACCTAGTATCTCACATATGCTAGGCGAGCACTCTTCCTCTGAGCCACAACCTTAGCCTGTGGGGGTTCATATTCTAGGGGACACCAGAGCCAGATCGAGGTGGGACATCATCTCTGCTCTAGCCTATTGCTAGCCCTGGGTGTAGGGACTATGGCCCTAGCAAGGCTCATGGGACATGGCTGCTGGCCCCTGGGTTGCTGAGGTGTCTGCCTAGTCCCACCTGGTAAATCCTAATTCAGATGTGCCAAGGGTGGGCACTGGATATTTTCAACAAGCACCTCTAGTGCTGATAGGCCTCAGTCTAGCCACTGTTTCCATCCTAGGAACAGGAAAGAACTCACCGATGATGAGTGTGGAGTGGGGGAATCTTTCACAGGGGCATAGCCTAGGCAGACCCAGGTTTCTCTCCTCTTCCAACTTGGTCCTATAAGCCTCAGCTATCTCTCCAATTAATAAAGTTTCATCCTTAGGTTCCCAAGCAGGACAGGAGGTGGTATACTGTGTGGGGGGAACACTTTGTAAGGATCCCTGGAAAAAATCCAACCACCACAAAAGCCTTCCACTGGCCTGGTGAACTTTGCTGGGGCCTGCATCCCTCACCTGACGCTGCTGTGTTAACCTGGTGGAGAGACCCACATATCCCCAGTTAACAGAGGAAACTGAGGCTCAGGATGGAAAACTGCAATGGGCATGTGGGCCTGCTATGGCTAGGGATCCTGGCAGCTAGCTACCCTGCCTGGGAGTAGCAGGGCCCTTGCTCTGGAGGGAGGTTGACCAGGTGACTGTGTGCCCTGGTCCCCCAGCCTGTCCTTCCCCTGGAGGTGTCTCATCCCCAACCCCACAACTCAGCTCCAGGCCTCTCCACAAGAGATGGGAGGTCGGGGGCCTGGCCCTCCTCCCCCTTCCTGCTCTGGGGCTCAGGGACCCTCCAGGACAAGGCCTCCGGGAGCCTCCTTTACAGCTGGTCCCCAAGGAGTCCAGAAGTCCAACCTGGGAGGCCCTTCTGCAGTCCTGTGATTCCTCCTTCTACAGGTCTCCAGGCTGGGCAGTCTCTGAGGCCGTGGCTCTGGGTCCATTCTCCCACCCCAGATGGAATGGAGGCTCTGGCTAGCTGGTGGCAGGTTGGGAGGGGCCTGAGAAGCATGAAGATGGAAAGTGATTCCAGTTGAGGGACTTCCCATCTGGCCCTGGTGGGGGTTGGGTGTCTTCTAGTGCCCTGTGGGGGTGGCTATGTGGGCCTTCTATGTCCTGTGTCTTTGCTGTCCAAAGAAGCCAGGTGTAGTACCCATATGG